GGTGTTAAAATGGTCAAGCACCCTCGAGGCAGTTACACAGTGCTTACAAGTGTCTCAGGAAGTGAAAGCACCAGAGAATATATTAAGGNTGGCAACGACGTTGTAAAACAACCCAATTCACTTCGTGAACTCGGCAAACAGGTTGCCTTTTTTTTTATATCTCTGTTTTTTTTTTGGCGGTAACCATAGGGGTGGCCGAGTGNCCCCCGTAATGAACGCCTCCGTAGACATCCAGCATCGGTTCCGCCGCTCTCAAGGCGGTCGCAGTGGCGGACGGGACCGTCGACATGTTCCCCTGCTTGTACTCCACAAGCGAGTGGGACACATGCGCCCCGCAAGTCCTAGTGGAGGAAGCCGGGGGCGTCGTCCTTCCCTTGGACGGCACGGGAGACGTCGGGATGGCCGACGTAGCAGCGCTGCATCTGCTGTTGCGCGCCGAGAAGGCGCCGGCTGCTGCGGCCGTTTCTGCTGAGTCTGCGGCCGCCGGCGGTGATGCTTCGGTCGGAACGAAATCTTCGCCGACAGGCAGCGGCGAGTTGCATCTCTCGTACAACAAGGCGGACCTTTTGAGCCCGCGTTGTGTGTTCCTCGGTCGTTGCACCACGTAAAGGCCGATGGGTGTTTAAAGAATGTATCCACCTGTGCAGATGCTTTTGTTGTTAGCACCAACTAGCATCACTGATGTAACTCAGTGTACTGGCTTACACAAGCTCAAAATATGCCCAGTTTCCAGTCGGTGTCAATCCACTTATTGGTGAAGAGACTTCAACACATCCCTTTCGACTGAGGTTATATCTCGAACGGGTAGTCTTTCTTTGAGGTTATGTTTGCTTAATTAAAAATATGGCGCGTATCCTTCACACGCGTGCATGCGCATGGTTGCGAAGGTCCGCACAGGGGGTGTTTCCCCCATTACTTGTGTTCCTGTTGGGCATTCCGCGTGTAACGATTCTGGTAAGACTTGTGCTCTTGTGGGATAGATGAAGCACAGGCAGGCGTGGTGTGGCGGCGGTAAGCCAGCGAGGGGTGGTGTTCTAGAATGCGAAACTGCGTGGCGCCAAATGATTCACCTTGCACTGTGCATACACAAGAGAGGAAAGAGCTGGTGGTCCGTTTTCGGATTCCAAATTGAAATGGGACCCGATGGAACAGGTGTGGACTAGAAGTCTTCTTGTCGGTCTTTTCATAGTCTTTCGTGTGTTTCGTCGAAGATGGGTAGGAACGACGCCCAATGAAGACGACCCGTCGGTCTGCTCCCGATTGGAAGATAGATGATCGTAGGAAGGACAAACCGAAAAGGGAGACGAACTCCGTTTGACGCCGAATGGACCCCACAAAACACGTTTTGTTAGTTCGCTCAAGTTCGTTACTATTATTGTACGATGACGATCATACTTGTCACTCGCTCGTTACAAAATCACGGCTTTTCGGGAACGCCGGGAACACACAACAAATTAGTTTGGATAGATATCCAATATCCATTCCACACCCGGCCTGCTTGTGAAAAAATCGGGGTGCTTGTGGCCCTACGACACTGAGCGGAGTCGTTAAAGTTGTTTTCAAACCATGGGACAGGTTCCTTGAAACGGTCGCCGGTTATATGCACGTGTAGCCAAAACTAGTTTACGCATATAGACTATAGACCTTTGCGGTGTAGCATTGATGTAAGACGCCATGTACTTGGTCTATAGACTCCGAGGTAATGATGCAAAAACTACGTATGATCATGTCGCATTTAGAGTTGCAAAACACAGAGAAAGGGAGGGGAGAGATGACGCGAGAGACGACCAGAGGTTTGAGGGGAGATAACTGACTTCAACCACCCGACCACGACAACCGGTCGGACAAGCCCACCAAGAACAAGCGAGCAGTGGCGGCAATAACCACCCTCCGCATCGATGTCATGCACTACCAGCCGTGGCGCACTGCTGTACATACATGCAACGGCTGTTTCTGCGTTGTGCACAGACTGTAGACTAGATATGAAACTCTGTGGCCCCAACCAAGCTCTGCCGGTGAAGTAAGCTGGTTACAAGTTGTTGCACTCAACGGTCAGCACCGTGCGGGTAACCGCCTCGCCCGCTCTGGTACACGTTGACTGGCGGCACCATCTATACTGCTGCTGAACAAAATATGCACTGACTGCTGGTCATCTGGTCGTCATCATCATGAAGAAAGGGCCTGGATCTTTCACGCACGTGGCAAATTACAACAGGCGCGACCACCAACCCGCCAACCATAGAGCAAAAACAACCCAAAGACATTTCATCAAGGCAAGTAGGTCTAACTAACACTTGCCGCTGACGTTCTGTTTCTGTGCACACGTGACCTTTTTTGCCCCTCGAACCTACCTGCCCCACTCCCCTGTGTACAAGGTGTTGTTGTTGTTGTTGGCTTCACATTAAACCGTATGCCAGTTGCTAAATGCCAAAATCTAGCAAAGACTCTCAGCCCGTGGTCACGAAAGTGCTAGAGCCATCTGAGGATCTAAAGAACACGCACACGTAGCAAGAAAAGGTATCCAAGAGCCCGAAGAGGTACTACTACACCTATATAATCCCTGCAGCACCGTACGCGTGCCCAAAACTAAACTACACGTCCGTCTCACCGTTCGACTACAGCAACATCACCCCCTACCTGTCCCACTCTGTACCAAAACGAATGATTGCCGACTACAGCATACTTGCTGTCTGAAGTGCTGTCTGTACAAAAACACCATGGTAGGCATGGAACAAGAAGCTGGCGGGGCACAAAGCTGCTGTCTGAAGTGCTGTCAGAATGTGTCTGCGGACGTACAGTGAAAAAGAACAACCAACCAAAGCCATGATTGCAATGGACAATCACCCGAATCTCTCCCGATCGTCTGCGTTAGGCACGCAGTGAAAATATCGACAATAGCTAAGAATCGTTCCACATTGAAGGGGTCTTCCACGATCAGGCACATAACCAAAAGGACACCCGGGTTAGCCACGCCATCTCTGACGGATCTCTCTACAAAACCAGTGACGACGTCATCACATAGAGCCAGAAGTTTCGAGTTCGATAGACAACAGTGCATCGTTTTCTTGGCCCTTGCACCCACCGTTTTTCGTTTTTCCGTACTCCGGAAGAAAATTAGGTGAGCAGCGGTTTTTCAACCCGTGTCGTTTGCAACCCAAAAGCAGACACCTGACATCTCTCCGTCGACGCCGTTGTGGAAAAGAGGATTTCGTCCTCGACAGACGTTGGGGAGTTTCAACCTTTATGAAGGTGTTCTCCACAATGCACACATTTCCGATCAGAAAGAAAACGCGTGATGACCACTACTACCGCAAACAAACCTCTCTTCCGGGGCTCTGTGACTACATAGATAGCAGCACTGCTCGCAAATTCGTTTTCCACCCAAAAGCCGAGAGGTGTGAAGGACGTTGGCCTTTAACCAAGGAATGCATATGTACTTACGGGTATTTTGTGGTAAGGTGAAAGTGCGCGTGTTTTCGGAGTATTTATTATTATGGCGACAGTCCCCCCCATTTTTCGTGGTGAGATCGTGTACTAGTCTACACTTTTCAGCGTATGTAGACAGTACTACACTTTTCAGTGTATTTTTTCGTACAACTACAACCACCCAGGGTCACACAGGAGGGGTTAAACACCAGGGCTTTTCTTCTTATTGTTATTTCTTTTCATGCCCCACCTTCCTCCTGCGGTGCGTGCTGAATTTTATTTTTTCGCGAGAAGGGTCCAGCCGTCCCTTTCCCTCGTCAACGGTGATCACGTCGAAGTTTGGTACTCATGAGAGCTGTTTAGCTATTTCGCTGTCACCCGCAAATTTCGGAAAATTTTCACCTCATGGGGATTTGAACTCACGACGTCTACGAATGGCGGATTACGAGGATACCACTTGACCACCGGGGCGACCGGCATGGGCCACCATGCGGAGCTTGGCGAAAGAGATCATGGAGACTTTGCGAAACACCGCACCACTCTGTAGACCAGTTCTTTTGATTACCTGTGTACAACACTTTTGGGCAAAAACAGCACAGCAGCAGGGATGCAGCACACGGAGCCCAGCGAATGAAAAACAAGCTTGTAGAGCCGATCCGCAGGCGAAACGGGCAGAGGTTCCAGGACTCCAGGGCTCGACGGAGTTTCCGTAACCAAGCTTTGTCGAGGAAGCCGCTGTTGGTTGTTGTTGTCTTCACATTAAAAAAACCATCCCGGTCTCTCTATCCAGTACCTCCTTCTGTCTCAATCTCTCCGTACTAATCCATCACTTGACTCGGCCAATTTCCGTGGTCACAGGCTAACGTACCTAGAAAAGGTATACCAAAATAAAATGGACCCCAAGGGTCAGCAGAGCGATAAAATACAAGAAAACAAA